TCGGTTTCCAACCTATTTCATACAGAATATGCTACGGATCTCGTTTTGATCCACTAGATTTACCATACGCTGGTTTATCTATGGGATTAAAATTAAATTCAATATTAAAAATCCATGTTTTTGAGTATTTTATTTATTTTTCAAATTAAGTGAAATAAAAGTTTTTTTTTTTAAATTCAATATACATCTTTATAACATATATCTTTTTTTACAAAATCTAATTGAATACGATACTGTGTGAAATGAAAACGAATGTAAAACGAAAATTCCGTAAATGATATTCGTATTAGTAAAAATTGTATCCGTTCAGTTTTGTCGAAAAAGAAGGCGAGATAATAAAGCTCATCATTGCATTTCCTCTTTCACTTGTAAGTCACGACTCGTAAAAACTTTTTTCTTTCTTTATTTGTTGTTTATTTATCATTTTCGTCTGTTCTGTTAGAGTACTACTATGTGCAAGTATTTAAAAATTTACAACGAATGCTCGCTTGAATGCAATTTGATTTCTCCCATCATCAAGTCATTTAGTTTTATCATTATTTTCATTTCATTGAGTGTTGTCTAAATAGTATTTTGCAAACGACGTAAATAAATTATTGCTATATGATCTCACCATGCACACATCATCATTCGTCATCATTTCAAAAAGTCACAACAGAAAGTAATACAGGTAATATCAAAAATAAAGTTGAAAGCATTCATATTCCTTAGTGCTGGTGATTCGACAAGTATTAATGCTGCTACAAACAAATAAATAAGTAATCAAATAAACGGGTCGAATGTTCACGAGGTCGTACAAATTGTTCCACGCCAGATTACATGATCGATCCTTATAAAGAAATAATAAAACTTCGATATAAACTTGGTATATTTTCATATGTACAGTTTAATTCCAAGCAATTTCCCGAAGTAAAGTATGTATGAGTAAAATGGCAGGCTTCATCTAGGGAACGACCAGATCTCTCTCTCTATGTGTATGTTGGAAAATATTTCACGGAGTTAAATATGGAATTCGCGCAATAAACTAGATATGATAAAATTATTGATGCGTGCTGCATAATTCCGTTTTACTGAGCTCGGGGCCACTGTTAATTAATTACAGTGACCTTTTCATATGAAATTTATTGCACGAGGAACTATTATAAATGAACATCGTTAGGGCTGATACGAAAAGAAGGAACTGGTCGTCCTAACTAACAATACACGAAATAAAAGAGAGAATGTAATTTGGGCTAAAAGTCGAGAAATATTAAAGAAATTCAGATGTTTTTGTAGGCCTAGAGGACGGTGTTTGCACGGGTTCATCTAAAGATGTCTTGCTCTCGACCGGACTTGTGGCTGCACTATCCGGCGAGGTCAATTTACTGGGCGGCGTTGGGACTTGAGGAGCAGCACCTTTGTTCCGCATTTTTGATTTCCTTTTCTTTAAAATAATTGACCCTAATCCGGTGCCGCCATCGGATGGCTTGATAGATATGAAATCTGTGGGTCTCTCCGTTGGTGGTGAACAGGAAGACTTTCTGTCCTCGCGTTTCGGCGAGCCAGGCCCACTGTCTCCATTCAGTTTTGTCACAAGCTCAGAGAGTAATTCCTCCATCCTACCCATTTTCTGCTTCAAACCTTGGATCTCCAGTTTCACGTCAACTTTGAAATCCATCAGATTCGTCAACAGTTCTTTGTACTCGGTTGGTGCAATGGAATCAACGATTGGCGTTTGATACAAACTTATAGAAGCCGGATCCCTAAGACCACAGTCGTAGCTCTGCATTTTCCTTAAACCTAAACTCTTTTTCGGGGTTTCAAATTCGACGATTTCTTCTATCGTGTCTTGCCGCGTGATCGCCGGACTCGAAGTGTTCGACACTTTCTGAAGCTTAGGAAATACTTTGTTCCCAGAACCAGTCAACGGCTGACCGCCTGGACTCCCCGAAGAAGAGGAGCTTGGCCGTTCTTTTGATGCATCTTTCGCACTTTGACTCCTCTGAAACGGAGGTGCCGCATTCGTGTCCGAACTAGAGTCTAAACTGGACGAACCCAACAATCTTCCCCATTTACTGGCCCTGGTCGCGGGTCGTGTAACTTTCGTTGTAACCGTCGCATTATTGTCGTCTTTTTCAGCAACCGAAGACAATTTCGTCGTTGACATCACCCTCACCAAATTCTTGTTTTCACTATCGTCACCCTTTTCCACGTCGCTCGCCGGCTGTGGCGGAGGCGTGTGCTGAGCCCGATCTCTCCTGAACTTCGAGAAGATCTTTCTCACAAGGTGATCTTGGTTCTGATCCAGCTGCGGCTCGTTTTTTCGACGTTCTGCCAATTCCTTTTCTCGCCTCACATCCGCCACCTTTCTGAATATCAGTCGGTGCCGCAGATTGTAAGTTAAAATTAAATTTCTAGCGAAACTATTTGCAAAAGCCTGATAAAAATCCAACACCTCTAGCAGTTTATCCCTCTTAATTGTATGTAAATCACAATAAGTCAATGCGCGCACATTCGCAGCCGATTGGCCCACAGCGTTGTCCTTCCAAAAAGAATCACCGAAAACGTCACCTTTACCTGAAATTTGAAAATTTAGAAAAATAGTTTAAATCATAGAAATGATATTACCTAAAATTGCAACAACCTCATCGTCTTGTATGACTTCTAATGAACCGGTGACTATGAAACATAGAGAATCTATGGATTCGCCTGTATGATAAAGAAGATCGCCCGGTGCCGAATGAGACATTGTAAAGTGCATAGCTAAAGCTCTTAGGCAGCCGTCCGATGCAAGCCTAAAAGCCGGATGTTCATTGAACACCTTCCTATTCAGATGTACACATATATCAGCTTTCATGTCCTTCGGACAAAAATTTAAAACCTAAAAATAGTTTTTGTTTGTAATCAATATTGGGCGAGTTTAGTTTATACTGGAACAACCTTATCTTGGTCGAGTCCTTTAGTCATTGCCCATGTGGATACCACATAATCCATAACTCGTTCTGATAAGGCTTTCGGAACTTCGTGCAGTTTCATGAATTCTCTCACATTGTTAAGCATATCATGATATTTGGCTGTGGCACTGGTCATCTGCTGTATTATCGTAGTAACGTGACCAAAAATCGTGGCGTATAAAAGTGCTAAAAAAAGAGAAAACACATAAAATAAATATGTTTAATTTAAGTTAGAAATATATATAAATTAATTCACCAGCAATGATCATCATGCAAATAGTAAAAATCCTCTCGTTGTCGGTTTCGGCGGCGACGTTTCCAAAACCAACGGAAGTCATGCAAGTCATGGTGAAGTAAAGGGCCGTGACGTACATTGTTTTCCTCGAAGGCCCATTAATCAATTCGGGCGTATTAGAGTCGTTCGGCCAAATGTACGAGTAAGGATTTTGAGTGATATTAGCCAATTTCCATAGCCAGCTGTACTGAACGCCGTTGTCAGCGTCCGACCTTCCGATGGAATACCAAATGCAGGCAAGCCAATGGGCGACGAGCATATAGAAGCACAGCAACAGGATGAGCATCGCCGCTCCGTATTCCAGATATCTATCAAGCTTCCTGACCACACGGCCTAACCTTAACAAGCGCACAACTTTGAGAGCACTGAACAGACTTCCGATGCCCTAAAACACGAAATTATCGAATTAGTCTACGGACGAAATGAGATATTTCGACGGCAAATACATCTTCGTCATGGTCAAATGCGTTAAAGACATCGTAAGGCAGACAGCTGAGCAAATCTATGATGAACCAACTTCTCAGGTAGTTCATGCGAATTACTTTCGGATCGGAGACGACTTCACCGCCTGGCCCCACGAACGTCGTGTGGAAGTTGAGAACGATGTCGATGAAAAAGATCACATCCACAATGGAATCCACCACGAGGAGAGATACGTCCTCCGACGTTTTATTCTTGAAGGCTACATTATACGGTACCATAATTGCGGTGTAAAAGGTCAGACACAGGATGATCCAATCCCATATCGCCTTGAAAGCACAGTAGTGCAGTAAGATATGCGGCGGTGTCTTCGGAGCTTCTTGGCGGTATTGCGGCATTATATCCGCACTTAGGCTCATCATCTAACATGAAACAGAGAAAAGAAAACAATCAGTGTAAATAATTTGATCGTTCGATGAGGAGAAGGACGTAATCAAAATCAAAGCCTAATAAATCTGCGACCACGCATTTCTTTTCCACCCGGTTCGATGTAATATTTCTCTGCTCCTTTTATTTTATGTGCTGCCGTGCATTAATTACTGCCGGTGCGGTAATGGAATGGGCGAATGTCACGGAAGAAACTGGAACGCTCGGCCGGTTCCTAGGTTTTTTCCGCATGCCTAAATGAATGCGGAACCGAAGGGTGGCATTTTTGGGGAGTGGAATTTAAGTGAGTCGCTTTTTGCACACACGTGCCCAGGTTCATTTGAATGCATGCATGTGTGTTTGTGTGTACGAATACGTGTATGTGCACTACCAAGTAAAGAATAAAAATGGTATACAATGACTTTTAAAGCGACACTAATGGACTATTTGAACTCTTTCTAGCAACGATTTTCACGATAATGTAAGGATCTTGCAGATGAAACGCCCTTCTTCCAAAGGTAGAATAACAAATAAGTATTAGCCATGTACATGACTTTAACCAACTAGCATACTTTTTCATGTATATTTTAAAGTAAATCTTTTCAATTTATCTAATCACAGCAACGTACTCGAAGTTCATACAAATGTACACTTTTATTTCTGAGAATCTTAATTCCATCAGACTGTAATGCAGCGGTCGGGGAACCGGGGTAAATTATCCAAAATGGGGTAAAAAATGATTTTTTTTTTTGGGTAATAGGGAAATTTTTATAATTTCATCTTACGAAACTCAGAGAGCGGTTCTCAGACTACTTTTCAGATCTTGATGTACAAACTGTGAATTGGTTTGTAGATCCTTTTAAATGAGAAATTACTAACATACCAGAAGAACCTCCAGGTTTGGCAGAGGCAATTCTTGAACTTCCATCCAATACTGTATTCAATTTGAGACCAAAGCAAAACTGTCGTCTTTTTGGTTGTCAAAGGCTGCAAAGGCTTTCAAAATTGCACATGAGGAGGCGGTAAAAAAATTGCTGGCATTTGCAACAACCTAATTTTGTGAACAAGCTTTTCCACTCTAATGAACATAAAAATGAAAAACAGAAATCGATTAAACGCCGAAGAAAGTCCCAATTTTAAAGTAATTATATCAAACATGAAGCAAC